TTACCGAATGTATCCGATGCGCTGGCTACAGTTTCGTTGGCAGCGGCTTTCGCTTTGGCTACCAAATCGGTGTCCATGGCGTCAGCAGCCTTATCGACCATTTTCTCTGCACTATTCACAGCCACATCTTTTACTTTATCAGCTACTTGTACAGCCTCTTTCACAGCAGATTCAGCTTTTTCTGAAGCAGAACCGAATAATTTTTTAAGAAATGATAACATCTGTTATTGATTTAATTGTGAAAATTGAATGAAACTCAACATTAGGAAAGGTTTGAGCTTCTATAATGCTGAATATATCTGGAACTATATGTATCTTAAAATAAATAGCGTAAGAGCACAAAGCACAATTACCCACAACTACAATTAGGTTGGGCGTTTCCCTGCATTTAAGAACAGTTGATATGCTTTTAGGTTGTCCCATTCGTTATTAGAAGCCAACAAAGCCTGTGCAGGCCAAGTACCCGGATCGTGCATTGCATACCGAGATCCTTCAGAAATCAAGATTTCCTTAATTCTGTTTACCGGTGTAGATGCAAGATGAGCAAAGGTGACAATATTGTGCTTATGTAGTATTTCCTCAATTTTGGGTCCGATACCCTCTACAACCTTTAGATCATCAGGGATGTCAAAAACGGGAGCAACTACCATAGGTTCAGATGAATCATGCTCCATATCGAGTACTACTTCCTTGGTCGTTGATGTTTCGGATTCAGATTCCGGGTGAAGCGAAAGAACGGCAGGAGCAATCACTACCCTTGAAGACGCAGAAGTAGGCTCTACAATGATGTTTGGCAATGGTGCATCCAATTCATCATCGGTTAAGGTAATCTTTGGCAATTCTTGGTTAGCTGTGAAATTTTCAGCTTCCGCCACTTCTTCTGGAGCCTGTACCACCTCAAATATCGGCAATGCTTCGCTTTCTACGTGATCCGTTTCTAGTACTTGTTGAAAATCATGCTCCTCAACAGTAGGTTCTACTTCTAAAGGAGTTGACATTAATTCTTCTTCAGGTTCATCTGCGGGAACTAAAACTACAGTCTCTTCATGATGCTGCTCTTCTTCCAGGTGCAAGGGCTCTTCTATAGGCGTGAAAGTTGCTTCCCCATGATGGTCTTCCTCCACATAAACTGGTTCTTCTGTATGAATGAAAACAGCTTCATCATGATGATGTTCTTCCACTTGAGGTTGTACAACCTCAAGGTCAAGCGATGCCTCAGTAGCTTCTTCCTCCTTATCGGTTACAGGCACTAGATCTTCCACGTGCACATCAAAAGGAGAGGTAACAATCTCCATAGGTACTTTGGCAGATTCAGGCGAAACCGAATTTACCATACTCAATAATCCTTCCAACGACATATTCTCAGTGGAAACCTCCTCCAACTTATTCTGGGTTTCTTCGTAGGAAAATTTAAGCAGATTATTCTCTGTAGCTAAAGCAGAAATTTTATCATGTAAAATTTTCTGTTCATCTTCGGTCTTATTTTTATACGCATGCAAAGTCTCATTTTCTGCCTTCATTCCCTCCAAAGTAGCATTAAGACTTTCGTTATCGAGTCGATATTTGTCTATCATACTCTTGTATTTGCTCCATAACATCCAACCTAACCACAAACCAAGCAGGAATGCACCAAGTAGCATGGTGATGATTTCAAAGGTATGACTGGTAAAGGTGCCTATACCGGGGCCGTGCGTAACATTTTGCTCAAACATCTTTTCTCTAATTGTAAATTATTGATTTTTTTATTATTATTTCAAGAGAAATTCTACTCTCCGATTTTTATACCGTCCCTGTGGAATATCATTGGTGGCAATAGGCTTGCGTTCTCCATAAGTCTGGCAAGTTAATTGATCAGCAGCAACACCATGGGATATCAATTTTTCACGGATATTTTTCGCTCTACGCAAAGCAATTTTTTCATTGGAAACACCATCGCCTACGCTGTCGGTGTGCCCCGTAATCAGCAATTTGCGCTTCGATTCTTTCAACTTTGCTGCCAAAGCCGCCAAAAAGCTTTCTGCGTCTGCATTGGCTTCGTTCTCTACTGAATTGTATGGAAAATGTATGGTAATCAAATCTCCGTCTTCCACAACTGAAAAACGGTTGATATCCACATCTGATGAAGGCAAGTTGGCAGTTTCAGTTTTGCTACCACTTGGAGCAGCTAAAGGTTTTGAATGCCCTTTTGAAGCACCTGCAGTTTCACTATTCATTGGTGTGAATGCAGTTTCTTTCTCGGCTTGCATCTGTGCTCCGGTAGTTGCGTCAACCTCTTCTTTTATAGGTTCGATGACTAGCGGAGGAGTGGCAGCCACTTCTGAGCTTACTTTAGGCTTGCATGCTTGTTTTATCTCACAAACATACCATCGCCAACAAATTGCTGACCAACCTATAAAAGCTAATATCGGTAATAATCTAAAATTCATGGTTAAGAAAATCTATGCTGGATGTTCATACTTACAAAAGAAACCCAAGTGCCTTTCGGCACTCAGGTTATCTTCACTATTTAACTAAATTAACTCCAATTAATTACTTACATGGACAAATGAAGAAGTGGTTACCACAAGTCTTCATAAAGTGCATATCAAGTCCGTTTGCTGATTTGATCTTGAACGCCAACAAGTCTTTACCTGTTGCATCCAAACGATCATAAGCTGATTTATGCATAATGCTATACCCCATGTTACCAACACTTCCTGCCGGTACTTCTACCTCAGAGAACATCTCTTTTTTGGCATCGGCAAAGCCATTGGCATAACCCATACCTTTAAATACTCTTTCCAAGAATTCTCTGTCAACCGGATTGGTTTTGTGTCTTCTCACCAACTTCGCATAGAAATCATCTATCGACAATGCATGAGAGTTACCAAATTCAGGATTGGTACCCAATCGAGTCAATGATTTTGGTGTTGCATTCGGATCGATGTTGAACAATGGATCAGGGTTGGTAGTACAGTTGCAAACCGGAGCAGCCGGAGCAGGAGCCGGAGCAACCTCTACCTTTGGCTCTTCCACTTTTACAGGTGGCACAGGCACTTCCACTTCTTTTTTGCAGTTTTTCATTAAGAAGAAGGCCAACAAAGGCAAAAGCAGCAATAACAGCATCCATGGTCTGAACCATCCCGCAGCAGCCTCTTCCACCACCGGCTCTACAATAGGTGCAACCTTAGCTACCTCTACTACAGGAACAGGTTTCGGTTTCGGTACATCTACTACAACCGGTTTTGGCTTTTCTACCACCACTGGTTTTGGCTTTTCTACTACCGGAGGAGGCACAACAACTACTGGTTCCGGTATTTTTATTTCCGGTACTACTACCGGTGGCACTACTACTTTCGCAACTTCAGTGATTGTTACAGCTACCGGAGCTACTGCAGCAACGGCAGTAACCACGTCAACTACTTCAACCGTTTTCTCCTCACCTACAACTGCTACCATATCATAATGACAAGAGCGACCAATTTCTTGTTTGTTGCCGGCTGTCAAGATTCTATAATAACCGTTTTCGTCTTTTTTCTCAATCCAGCGCTCAGCTATCTTGCTGTTTTTGCTAACCGACTCCATACCATTCTTGCGTGCTGCCTCTGTGGTATAGCCTTCACTTCTCAATAATACTTTGCCTTTTTCGTCAATCATAGCAAAGTAGTACTCTCCATTGTGTGTGAATGTAGTAAAACCATCAAAGAATGGATTTTTATCATGTCCATGATAAGCCTCACAAGGTAGGTATTCATCAATACTTGATACTACTGGAGCCTCTTCTTCTATAATCAAACGTTGGCGTGGTGTTTCTATTTCCACAATTGTTTTCGTAACCAAAGCTGCACCTGTAGTTTCTGTCACAATGGTTTCTCCCTTGGTACGTGTTACACTTGCCTCTACAGAACCCTCAGCCACAATTGTTTTCCCAGTTGTTCGCTTTACTGTACCTTCAGCGCTCTTAGTCTCAGTTACAATAGTTTCACCTTGCTTCCTAATTATCTGCGCATCACTTGCTATAGTTGTAACGATTTTTTCGCCGGCAGTCTTGGTTACAATAGCCTTCATCACTGGAGCCTCAGAAAAGGTGCTAAAATACGTAGCAATAGAGTTTTTCGCTTCCTCCTCCGTACCAAATGCACAACTTCTTGCTATTTCCTGACGATTACCAGCCTTCAATACAGCATACCACAAACCATCTTCACCTTGCACTACACTATATAAGCCATGATTATTTCTATTTTTCATTACAGACTCAATGCCATTATTTCTAGCCGATTCACTTGAATAGCCTTCACTACGCATCAATACCTTACCGGCAGCGCTTACCATCGCAAAATAATGCTGACCCGATGCGCCATCCACAAATGCGGTAAAACCTGCAAATTTAGAAGCCTCGTGTTTTTCATACGAAGCGCATGGCAAATACTCATCCGTATTGCCTCCACTTTTTGCAGGTGCCTCCATCACTACTGTTTCGGTTTCTATCACCTCGACATAGCTACTGAGGCACATTGCCATCGCACTTTCCTGGCTGATACTATCGCTGTAAGCACAGCTTCTTGCAATTTCTTGGCGATTGCCTGCCTTCAGCACAACAAACCATTGGCCTGCTCCCGCTTCATCTTCCACAATAGAATAGCGTTCAGCTATATCTCTATTGCGCGTAACAGAGTCCATACCATTGTTTCTTGCTGCTTCTGAAGAGTAACCTTCACTTCGGAGAACTACACGTCCTGATGCAGTTACAACTGCAAAATACCATAGCCCACTTTCTGCATCTTGCCAAGTAGTGAAACCCTTGTGAGTTTCGCTCAATGCTTTGTTTTCATAAGATTCACAAGGTAAATAGTTATCGAGATTCGCCATAAAGTAGAAATTGTTTTGTATGATATGATTGAAATAAAGAAAAGATTCTATATTTGGCGGTGAAACTACGAACATTTTAGAATTCTGCAAATAATTTCACTAAAAAAAATGTCATGGAGCACAAAATTATACAATTTTCAGCGTTTTTAGCCGTAAAAATCGCCATCGGCACCATTATTGAAGTTAAAGACTTCCCCCGTGCAAAAAAGCCCGCTTTTCAGTTGCTCATCGACTTCGGTGACGATATCGGCATCAAAAAAAGCTCCGCCCAAATTACCACCAACTACACCAAAGAGCAGCTCCTCAACCGTCAAATCGCTGCCGTCGTCAACTTCGAACCAAAAAATATTGCAGGCTTCACCTCCGAGGTGCTCGTGCTCGGTGCAGCCCTACCCGACTCCTCCATTTCACTCCTCAACATCGACCACGTCACGCCCAACGGAACAATTATAAGTTAGTAATATGCAACACTTTACGCCACATTTCAGCCTTACAAAAGCTGAGCACATCCAACAAATTTTGGAGCACTTATTTCCCGAAACGCCCATCCCCCTCGCGCACAAAGATGCCTACACTTTGCTCATTGCTGTGCTCCTTTCGGCTCAATGTACCGACGAGCGCGTCAACCAAGTCACCCCTACCCTTTTTGCCCTCGCCGACACGCCGAGCAAGATGTCTGCCATCTCCGTCGAAACCATTCAGTCCATCATTCGTCCTTGCGGATTGTCGCCCACCAAAGCCAAAGCCATCCTCCGCACTTCACAGATCTTGGAGGAACAGTACCAAGGTCTAGTGCCACCAAGCTTCGAGGCCCTCGAAAAACTTCCCGGTGTCGGACACAAAACCGCCTCGGTCGTCATGTCGCAAGCTTTCGGGCAGCCGGCTTTTCCCGTAGATACCCACATTCACCGCCTGGCGCAACGTTGGGGACTCAGCGAGGCAAAAAACGTAGTTCAGACCGAAAATGATTTAAAAGTCACATTTCCGGAACACTCTTGGAACAAAATTCATCTACAAATGATTTTCTTCGGACGAAAATATTGTCCTGCACGCGGTCACGACCCCCAAAAATGCCCAATATGTAGCATATATGGTGTATCTCCAATCTAGTTTTAGAACCCTTTGGGCGTGCCCTCGAAAACCGCCTTTAGTATGGGAGGTTGCTTAGTGCTTCCCGAAGGCGGTTTCGAGGTCGGGCTATCCGCTACAATAGCCCTTTTTGTACCTTTTTAGGCTTCGCGCTTAGGCACTTCGGGTTGCGATGTTGCATGGCAACATCTTGGTTTTGCGAGTAATTTTTACAAAAAAGGCACAAAAAGGGCTATTTTCGCTACTATCCCTCACGCAGACGCTACTATTTACCCAAAAAAGTAAAAAGCACCCTATTTTTCGAAAAACGGACTAATCCCAAGATAACCAAATCAATTAAGCCCAAGCGTTAGGACGAGCCTTATGGAAATTCAGATTTTGGGCATAAATAAATCGTGCCGCAGGCAAAAATAGTCATTTTGAAAACTGTTTGAGCGAAGCGAGTTTTTTCAAAATGACTATTTTNAGGCAAAAATAGTCATTTTGAAAACTGTTTGAGCGAAGCGAGTTTTTTCAAAATGACTATTTTTAGATTTATTTATGGTCAAAATCTTGGAATTTCCATAAAGCTCTTGATTTTTTTTGTTTCTTTTTTTCATCAAGGAAAAAAAGAAAGAGACCACGAAGGAAGATAAAATCCTGATAATCAAGTATTTATTTTTGTATTGTTTGCATATAACGCTACTTTAACCCACTCAAATAATTTTGTGGGTAAATAGTAGCACGCAAGCGGTATTCATCGTCTATTTAGCTATATTCGTCGTGAATATTTGCAAACCTCACCAAAATGACGATATATTTGTGCCATCATTTTGATATCATTATCGCATCATTTTAGATCGCGACTTTGATCATTCCAATGAATCAAATTATTACACACATCTAAAACTAAAACATCATGAAAGAAAAGATTGTCAAACCAATGTCGGGCTATCTAATGCTAGCATTCAGCCCTATGTTGATGATTTGCGGCATTTTTTTAATTACCTTAGGTTCCAAATTATTCGGAGTGATTACCATCATCGTGGGCGCACTTTTGCTAATTGGCTTGCGCATGGTCAACCCCAATAGCGCAAAAATATTCACGCTTTTCGGAGAATATGTGGGCACAGTCAATGAAAATGGGTTGATTTGGGTGAATCCATTTTACACACACCAAAACATATCGCTTCGAGCTCGCAACTTCGATAGCCAACGCGTAAAAGTAAACGACAAGCGAGGCAATCCCATCCAGATATCAGCCATATTGGTCTGGAAAGTTGCCGACACATTCAAAGCCGCTTTTGAAGTGGACAATTACGACAACTTCGTGAAAGTACAGACCGAAGCAGCAGTGCGTCACCTTGCCGCGAGTTATTCCTACGACAACTTCGCAGATGACACCTCCGAAATCACGCTTCGCTCCAGCTTCGAAGAGGTGAATCATGCCCTTGCCAATGAGATACGCGAACGCCTCTCCATGGCAGGCATCAATGTACTCGAGGCGCGTATAGGCTACCTGGCTTATGCCGAAGAAATTGCAAGTGCTATGCTTCGCCGCCAACAAGCTGAGGCTATCGTATCAGCTCGCTTCAAGATAGTAGAAGGTGCTGTAAGCATGGTCGAGTTGGCGCTCGCCGACCTATCCAAGCGTGCAATCATCGATCTTGACGAAGACAAAAAAGCCGCTATGGTGAGCAATCTCATGGTAGTACTTTGCTCCGATAAAGAGGTGACACCGGTAGTCAACACAGGAACTTTGCACCATTAAAAACAATGTGTAGAGACGTTGCCTTGCGCAACGTCTCTACTGCTATTTTCATCATGGAAAAGAAAAAATTTGTACTGCGCATAGACGAATCTACTATGGAAGCCATAGAGAAATGGGCAGCTGATGAGTTCAGAAGCACCAATGGACAAATAGAATGGATGCTCACCACTATGCTGCAAAATGCAGGACGGCACCCCAAGCCGGAGCGCAAGAAGAAACCTAACAAAGCGTAATATTAAAAGTCGAAATTATGAAAACCAATATTTTATTTGCTGAACAACAACGATTCAAGCAATGGTGGATATGGGTGCCTCTGCTCCTAATTAATTGAATTGCAGGCTGCGTTGAAGAGTATAGAACGCAGATTTCTATGATTCTTATGATGTGAATGATTTTTCCGCTCGTTAAGTACTTGGAATTTATGATTCTTTCTCGCTTCGCTCAAAAGTATGATTTACCTAAAGTGAATGACATCATGCAAATGGTTCACAACTTATAGGCGCGCCGCCCACTCCGCGTGAGGGCAATGTCATTGACTTAAGGTTTTTCGGAACAAAAAACTGCGGTGTTCTGTCATGCTGTAAGCATCTGAACCACTTATTTCCATAGGAAATGCAACAATTGGTTCAGATGCTTTCAGCATGACACACTCTAGGTTTTCGTTAGGTCAATGACATTGCGCGTGAGGGATAGTAGCGGAAATAGCACTTTTTGTGCCTTTTATGTAAAAATAACCCACAAAATCCAAGCCATAGTCGTGCAATGGCAGTACCCACAACACCCATGCCGAGGTAAAAAAGGCACAAAAAGGGCTATTGTAGTGGATAGCCCGACCTCGCAGCCGCCTACGGGAATGACTAAGCTACCCTCCAATACAAAAGGCGGTTGCGAGGGCACGCCCATATGCTTTTTTCACTCTTCTCCCAACATTTCTATCGGTTTTTCCTTGTATGCCAAACCAAATTTTCCGATAACCTTTGAGATGTACTGCACAGCCTCGTCGATGTCGTCGGTAACGAGGTAGAGCTCATCGTCGGTGGACGAAATGGTGCCTTCCGCCTCCATGAGCGCGATGTGCTGCAGCAACTCTTGGTGGTATGCCTTCCCAAAAATGACTACCGGGAAATGGTCGATTTTCTTGGTCTGGATGAGCGTCATGGCTTCGAAGAACTCATCGAGCGTGCCAAAGCCACCCGGACAAATCACAAAAGCATAGGAATATTTTACCAAAAGCACTTTTCGGACGAAAAAATAGTCGAAATTGACGAATTTGTCGAGATAAGGATTATGCGTTTGCTCTCTTGGCAAAACGATATTGCACCCCACAGATCGGCCGCCAACATCTTTGGCACCCCGATTGGCGGCTTCCATGATACCCGGCCCGCCGCCAGTAAGAATGGTAAACCCAAGCTTAGCAATACGCGCGGACAACGCGCGCGCTTGTTGGTAATGTTCATGTCCTTCTTTGAAGCGCGCCGACCCAAAAACCGTGACGCATGGACCTATAAAATGCAAAGCTCTAAAGCCTTTGATGAACTCCCAAGCTACTTTAATGACCATCGCAAACTCTTTGTAGCGCGAGCGCGGACCGTCTAAAAATTGAATTTCCTGACCTATTTCGGTGTTATTTGCAAGTTTATTTGTATCCATTTTAAGAAAATTTAGCTATTTACATCAGATGCGCACAATATTTAATATCAGAATAACGCTTTCTTAACACATCTTAACAATAGCGTGCATATAACTTTGTGGCATCAAATAAGTTCTCACTGTTTCATCAATCAATCAAAAAAGGCGCAATATAAGATAAAATTGGACATTTTTTTAACATCATAAATTTTCAGACAAGATGAAAGTGTCCAAGCTAATTGTTGTATTCAGCATTCTCTTCCTTCAATTATTTGCGCAAAAAGGATCAGCGCAGCAAATTTCTGTGGGCGCCAAAGTGGGCGTCAATTACTCCCAAGTATATACTACCGAGTTGTTGGGCAGCATCGTCCCTGACTTTAAGTTTACACCCGGCATCACGACTGGAGCTGTGGCCGAATTCGGATTTTCACCCTATTTTGCCTTACAGCCGGAGCTTTTGTACAGTCAAAGAGGATTCAGTTGGAATATTGGCACCGATGTAGAGGTGGCTGGAATACCAGTTCCGGTAGGTGCAACAGCCACATTTAGAAGCAATTATATAGAAATGCCGTTGTTGGCGAAAGGGAAATTTGGCAACGAGAAGGTGCAATTTTATGTTGCCGGCGGTCCGTCGTTGGGCTATGCCACAAGCGCCAATATCATCACTCGCCCGCGCTTGCTTTTCGAACTTGACGCTATCAGCACTCCTGTCAACCTTAGTAGCATCAAATATGAGCGTTTTGAGGTAGCTGGAGTGGGTGCTTTGGGCGTGCAGTTCAACCTTCGCGGCGGCAAGCTTTTCTTCGATGCGCGTTACGTGCACGGCTTCACTGAGCTGTACGATTTCCCTGTGGTCAACGAAAAAATCCGCAACCAAGGCATGTCGTTCTCTGCCGGCTGGATGTTCGACCTCAATAGCGGAGATGCCTCTACCGGCAAAAAATCGATTCCACGTCGCGGCAGCAGAACCAACCGCCCGCTTCCAAAGCAATAAGCAGAGCCGAAAAAAATTGATATTAGCCATTAATATTGGCTCCTAGACCGATTCTTTAATCCTTACACGTAAAAAGCCGTGGGCTGCTCCTTGCAACCCACGGCTATTTTTCATTCCCTAGAGAACCGGCTTTTCGGTAAGTATTTGGTGGTACGCAGGCGATTTTTTATGGCTATTTCCATTTCTATCCCTCACGCACGGCGCGCAATACACAATTTTTCACTACTTTTGCCCAAAATTACGATAACATGAACGAAGAAAATCCGTGGGTGACGCTCACCTGCCACGAGGTGTATGACAACAATTGGATCAATGTAACGCATCGCGATGTGCTCAATCCCGCCGGCGGAAAGGGCATATATGGCATGGTCCATTTCAAAAACGCCGCGATTGGCATCATCCCTTTGGATGACGACAATAACACGTGGATTGTAGGGCAATACCGCTATACTTTGGAAGAATATAGCTGGGAAATCGTAGAAGGCGGTGGGACATTGGGCGTTTCGCTGCTCGACTCTGCCATGCGCGAACTCTTGGAAGAGACCGGGATTGTAGCCTCAGATTGGCAACAAATCGCCGAATTGCATACTTCCAATAGCGTAACCGACGAATTTGGGGTGGTGTATATTGCGCGCGGACTCACTTTCACAGATGCCGACCCCGAAGAAACGGAACTCCTTCAGGTGCGCAAACTGCCTTTTTGGGAGCTTCATAAAATGGCGATGCGCGGCGAAATCACCGACGCAATGTCGTTGGTTGGCATATTAAAAGTAGCAGAAATGCTGCGCAACGGCACAGCAATATGAGAACACATTTTCAGCAATTGAGCGCCATGGGGCGCAAAAAAAACCGCCTTATCATCGGGTTGATGTCCGGCACTTCGCTGGATGGTCTTGATGTGGCGTTGTGCCGTTTCAGCGGCTCAGGCACCGATACGCAAATCAAGCTGCTGCGCTTCGAAACCGTGCCCTATACAGCGGAATTCCAAGCGGCTATTCGCGATGTTTTTGCGAAGCAAACTATTGATTTTCAAGCACTTACATTGCTCAATGTAAAAATAGCAGAGGTGCATGCATCGCAGATATTATCGTGCCTGCAACGCTGGAAAATCCCCACGCACAAGATAGACCTCATAGCTAGTCATGGCCAGACGGTGTTTCATGCGCCGCGTTCGCTGCATCAAATGGAGCACGAACCCAATGCTACGCTTCAAATAGGCGACCCCGATATCATAGCTATGCGCACGGGTATCATCACTGTGGCCGATTTCAGACAAAAACACGTGGCTGCAGGCGGCGAAGGCGCACCTCTGGCTTTATATGGCGATTTTTTTGTGTATGCCAAGCCAGGTGAAGACCGCATCCTCCTCAATATTGGGGGCATAGCCAATTTTACTTTTTTGCCGGCAGACGGTGATACAGGCAAGGCTTTTGCTACCGATACGGGTCCGGGCAATACCCTACTCGATGAAATGGCACGCCAACATTTTTCTCAAGATTGTGATAAAGATGCGGTGCTCGCCAACAATGGACGAGTGGATGAAAGGCTGCTGGATATTTTCAAATCGCATGCGTATTTTTCGCAACAAAATCCCAAAACTACCGGTCCCGAAATGTTTGGTGGTGCATTTGTAGCAAAAGCCATCGCTCAATTGCCCAAAGGAAATGTAAATCCGTATGACCTCATGGCTACGCTCTCGCAGCTTACAGCCGATACTATTGTGGATGCCATCCTACAACTTCCATTTACACCATCTGCTCCGCGCGGTATTTATGTGAGCGGTGGCGGCACTCACAATCCATTGATAATGAGCATCTTAAAGGAAAAACTTCCAGACTTTTCGATACAACTATTTGAGGCTGTAGGGCTTTCCGGCGATGCCAAGGAGGCTGTACTCTTCGCGCTCCTAGCCAATGAAACCGTGGCAGGCAACATTGAACCCGGACAGTTTTTGGGCGGCGTGCCGCTGGTAGGCATGGGTAAGATTTGCTTGCCTGGGTGAGAGATCCGAACGCGGGTGAAACGGGTTAGACGGATTTGCCACGAATTTTTTCTTTTTTGTTTCGCTTCGCTCAACAAAAACGGATTTTCACGGATTTCTTCTTTTTTGTTTCGCTTCGCTCAACAAAAAACAGATTTTCACGGATTTCTTCTTTTCATAATTCATCATTTTAGATAAAAATTATGTTGCTATATAATATTAAAACCCTAGCCGGAGCTTCAAAAACACCAAGAACGATATCACGTGGGGCGGATATGGCGCATTTGCCGCAGATAGATAACGCATGGCTGCACATGAAGCGCGACCGCATAGTGGACTTTGGTGCGATGGATACTTGTCCTAAACTCGCTGACATCAAAGGCAAAAAGATAGATTGCACGGGCAAAATGGTGCTGCCGTGTTGGTGCGATTCGCATTCACATATCGTGTTTGCAGCGTATCGCGAGGAGGAGTTCATCTACAAAGTGAAGGGCATGACCTACGAAGAGATAGCCGCCAAAGGTGGTGGCATACTCAACTCCGCCCGCCGGCTCGCTGAGGCCACCGAAGAGGAGCTTTTCCAAAGTGCATGGAAGCGCCTACAAAGCATGATTAGGCTTGGTACCGGCGCGCTCGAAATCAAGAGCGGCTACGGACTCACCACCGAAAGTGAACTCAAAATGCTGCGCGTCATCAAGCGGCTCAAGGCTGAAAGCCCTATCCCAATAAAGGCGACATTCTTGGGTGCACACTCTCTTCCACCTGCTTACAAAAACGACCGCGCTGCGTATATCAGCCTGATTATCAATGAGATGATGCCAGCCATTGCCCGCGATAACCTCGCCGACTATTGCGATGTATTCTGCGAGAGAGGCTTCTTCACACCCGAAGAAACCGCCGAAATAGTACAGGCAGGAGCCCGCCATGGCATGAAAGCCAAAATACACGCCAATCAACTCGATTACTCCGGCGGCGTGCAGGTAGGTGTAGCCAATGGCGCCATTTCTGTGGATCATTTGGAGCATTGCGGGGAAGGGGAGATTGCTGCTCTCCAAGGCAGCAATACCATGCCGACGCTGTTGCCGTCGTGTGCCTTTTTCATCAATTTGCCGTTTCCGCCTGCGCGCGCGCTCATGCAGGCGGGCTTGCCCGTCACGCTCGCCACGGACTACAACCCGGGCTCTACCCCATCGGGCAATATGCAATTTGTGGTTTCTCTCGCCTGTATCAAGATGAAAATGTTGCCCGAAGAAGCCATCAATGCCGCTACCATCAACGGTGCACGCGCTATGGAATTGGAGCACCTGGTGGGCAGCATCGAGCCGGGCAAGCGCGCCAATGTCATCATCACAAAGCCGATACCTTCTTTGGCGTATATTCCTTATGCTTTTGGGGAAGATGTGGTGGAGGAGGTAGTGATAAATGGTAGGATTTGGGGTAAAGCTCGGTAATTTCCGCTGGTCAATGCAATTAAATCTTCATTAAAATCACAAAAAAAGAGGATTTGGGCAAGCCCCACATAGGCTGCCCTAGGGATTTGTGGGTAGCTTGGGCATCGAATAAGGCAGCCTATGCGGGTCGGGCTTTCGCTTCTGCCCCTAAAAAATCGCCTTTAGGCTTCTGTGGGTAGCTTAGTGCGTCGTACAAGGCGATTTTTTAGTGGCATCCACTCTATCCCTCTTGCGGGATTATCGGTAATCTTGGAGTTTTTCAACTACCTTTTTTTCAAATTCTTTGATAGCTTTTTGCTTATAATCCTTATCGTGAAACCTTTTGGTGATTTTGTAAACATTAACTAATCGTAAAGTAGAAGTTGTATTATCCCCAAATATTTGTATTTCGCCTAATAAAGGCTTTAAAAACAACGTATCTTGTGCATTAACTTTTTCATAATCAAATAAATAGACTAAGGTATCTTCCTTGCCTCGTCGGAATATTGAATAATTCGTCCCATAAAAAATATCGCTTTCACTATCAAATACTACTTCCCTAAAGTTTTTTCGATTCTCGGTAAACTCTCTTAATTGAATGATATTTAGTCTAGAAATCAGTTCTTTTTTGGAAAATGGGAATTGATATTCTTTATTTATATCGGGATATCTATACATGTGCCGTGGAGGCAAAGTAGTCGCAAAAAATGCAAAACAAGCCACAAAACCAATAACCTTTAAGGCAATTGGAGGAAACTGAAGGATAGAATCCTTTTTTATCGTAAAATAAGCCCCAAACACAGCAATCAATGCAATATTGTCCGCAAAATCAATGGTTCTGGCAATAGGTATTCCGCTGGCATTTACCATATTGATAAAGGGCTGGGCAAGGTCACTCTTCCACCAAATGAATAAACCACTTACCAAAATATGCCATGCTAACTTATGCTTTGGGCTCAAAGCTGTTAGGAAAAAGGGTAAGGCAAAAAGCCCTGCAAAATCTGAGAGTTTACCAGTTAATTCGTTGTGAAAGGCACTTTTCAGGCACCAATCGTTAAGTAGCAGTGTAAAAATACTTAGCAAGAAAAGTGGATGGGAGAGTTTTTGTTGTGGCATGAGTTCGGTGTTTTTGATTGTTCTTCAATTGTCATTGAATCAGATACAAGCAAAAGATTAACTTTAATTGTATTGCATATTAACAACGAATTATTTGCACGATCAGTACATACTTCATGGAATACATGAATGCCGAATACATGAGTGTAGAATTTAGAAGTTCAAAAATTTCAGAAAATCCTTAAGCTTTTCGCAAGAGGGATTGAGTGGATGCCACTAAAAAATCGCCTTGTACGACCCATTCAGCTACCCACAAAAGCCTAAAGGCGATTTTTTTGGGGCAGCAGCGAAAGCCCGACCTCAGTAAGCGGCTTGCTGAAAACACTAAGCTACGCAATAATACCAAGAGCCGCTTTCTGAGGGCTTGCCATAGTACCACTAAGATACAAAGTTTTTTCACAAAGAACACTATAAACAAACAATTTTAGTGTACTTCGTGAAAAAACTTAGTGTCTTCGTGGTTAATCCTAGTGGTTAAATAAAAAAAGCAGCCATACGTTAATGACTGCCTTTTTAGCAATTCCCCGCAAAAAATTGCCTCTTGACGAGAAAAAATGTTTCATAATGGACAAATATTGGTGCCAAGCCGCCCTGAAATATAGGGAAAGGAAAGGAAAGAAGGCGCGGCTACCACCCTGATTTGATCATACGCACGTCGTTGAGGCATTTTGTTCATACTGTCGCTTTCTACCCTGCTGATAGAAAACTGGAAGGATTATTAAATCAAATCACATATTCTTGAAAGGGGAAGCGCATTTTGGTGCGCTTCCCTTGTATTTTTATGCGCTACACGATTCGCAATCCGGATTGTCGATGCTACAAAGCTTTACCTCCGGCTCTTGCGCTACGGCGAGCTTTATCTGGTCTTTGAGCATCTCGAGATTCTCCTGATTGGCGCGGCGTTCTTGTTCCGAAATATTGGCATTTTCTGCGTTTTCCGCAGTTTTGGAGAACTTTTGCTGGTGTTTTTGTCCCAAAGTAAACTTGATAGGATCTACAGCAGCTTTGGAGCGCATGTAGTACATACCGGTTTTTAGCCCTTTCTGCCAAGAGTAGAAGTGCATAGACGACAGCTTGGAGAAGTTTGGCGCTTCCACAAACACATTGAGACTTTGGCTTTGGCAGATGAATGCACCGCGGTCGGCAGCCATGTCAATGACGACTTTTTGGCTGATTTCGTAGGCGGTTTTGTACAAAGCACGGATGTCTTCGGGTATGATTTCGATGGTCTGGATGGAACCATTGTTGAGCATGATCATTTCTTTCATGTCTTCATTCCAGAGTCCGAGGCTCACCAGGTCGCGCAAAAGGTGCTTATTGACTACGATAAACTCGCCTGAAAGGGTGCGGCGGGTGTACATATTGGATGTATATGGCTCAAAACACTCATTGTTGCCTAATATTTGGCTGGTGCTCGCTGTAGGCATTGGTGCTACGAGGAGTGAGTTGCGTACACCATGTTTCATTACTTTGGTGCGAAGTCCTTCCCAATCCCAATTGTTGGATGGTTTTTCGTCCCACATATCAAACTGGAAGATGCCCTGCGATATCGGAGAACCGGGATATGACTCGTAAGCACCCTCTTTTTGAGCAAGTTCGCAGCTTTCTGTCATGGCAGCGAAGTATATTGCTTCGAAAATGTCTTTGTTGAGTTGGCGGGCTTCTGCGCTATCAAATGGCATACGAAGCAACATAAACACGTCTGCCAAGCCTTGTACGCCCAAACCTATAGGGCGATGGCGCATATTGGAGTTGCGCGCTTCGGGTATCGGGTAATAGTTGATATCGATAACGCGATTGAGGTTGCGCGTGGCTACACGGGTGATTTCGTGGAGCTTCTGGAAGTCAAATTTACCATTGATGATGTATTTTGGCAGCGCCAATGATGCCAAATTGCACACAGCTACCTCGTCGGGGCTGGTGTATTCAATAATTTCTGTGCAAAGGTTGCTACTACGTATGGTACCGAGGTTTTTCTGGTTGCTCTTTTTGTTGGCGGCATCCTTGTAGAGGATATACGGAGTGCCGGTTTCGATTTGCGAATTGAGCACAGCATTCCATAGCTCACGGGCTTTTACGGTCTTGCGGGCTTTACCTTCCTGCTCATAGCGGTGATATAGCGCCTCAAACTCGCCGCTGTGCTTATCGAACAAACCGGGGGCTTCGTTGGGGCAGAAAAGACTCCAATCAGCATCAGTTTTCACGCGCTCCATGAAGAGATCGGGAATCCAAAGGGCGTAGAAAAGGTCGCGAGCGCGCATTTCGTCCTTGCCTTGGTTCTTTTTAAGGTCGAGAAACTCGAAAATATCTGCGTGCCAAGGCTCCAAATACACTGCAAAAGCGCCTTTACGTTTGCCGCCGCCTTGATCCACATAGCGAGCAGTATCGTTGAATACGCGTATCATCGGTATAATACCATTGGACGACCCGCCGGTACCTTTTATGTACGAGCCTGTAGCGCGCACGTTGTGGATGCTGACACCTATACCGCCCGCGCTTTGGCTGATGAGGGCGCAACGCGAAAGTGTCTCGAATATACCTTTGATGCTGTCGTCGGTGATAGAAAGTAAGAAGCATGACGACAACTGAGGTTTGGGAGTGCCCGCATTGAAAAGCGTAGGAGTAGCATGTATAAACCAACGCTCACTCATAAGATTGTAGGTTTCGATGGCAGCATCGATATTGGTGCCATGTATGCCTACTGCCACGCGCATAAACAAGTGTTGCGGGCGCTCAGCCACCTTGCCGTGCATACGCATGAGGTAGGAGCGCTCCAGTGTTTTGAAGCCAAAATAGTCAAAATCGTAGTCCCTATCGTAGATAATGGCACTATCGAGGCGTGCTTTATGTTTTTGTATGATGGCATTGGTTTCATCGCTCACCAAGTTGGCTTTTTCGCCGGTTTTGGGGTCTTTGTAGAAACACAACTCGTGCATCACTTTAGAAAACGACTTTTCTGTCTCCTTATGCAGATTGCTCACAGCCAAGCGAGCAGCGAGAATGGCATATTCGGGGTGTACAGTGGTCATAGTAGCGGCGGTTTCGGCTGCGAGATTGTCGAGCTCGACCGTAGTAACGCCGTCGTAAAGTCCCATAATCACCTTCTGACACACTTCAATGATATTAACATAATCGGTGTCAAGACCATAGGAGAGTTTGCGCAATCGGGCAGTAATTTTGTCAAAACTGACATCTTCACGTTCGCCTGAACGCTTGATTACTTGCATCATTTTCATAATAGTAAAGATTGAATTTTATAGTAGTTTGTTTAGAATAGGAGGGAAAACCACGGGGAAATTCACTCTTACTTCTAAGGATTAATAAAGTTTTTCTAGAAATCAGCCTCCATACTAAAAGCCTGATCTTCGCGATTGGTTACCATCACACCGGCTTTTTGATAATCGCCTACGCGCTTCTCAAAGAAGTTGGTCTTTCCTTGTATGCTAATCATTTCCATCCAAGGGAAAGGGTTGGTAGCGTGGTAATATTTATCGTTGCCAAGCGAAAGGAGCAGTCTATCTGCTACAAACTCGATATACTGCGCCATAGCGGCGGCATTCATGCCGATCAAGCCGACCGGCAGGGCATCGGTTACAAATTCTTTTTCATACATAACTGCCTCTGTGATAATGGCTTGCACTTCTTCTTTGGGCAATTTGTTTTCCATCATACTGTACAGCAGACAAGCAAAATCGCAGTGAAGCCCTTCATCGCGACTGATGAGTTCGTTGCTAAAAGTCAATCCGGGCATCAAACCGCGCTTTTTCAGCCAGAAGATACTACAAAACGAGCCCGAAAAGAAAATACCTTCCACTGCAGCAAAAGCAATGAGCCTATGCGCGAAAGTTGGTGCATTTTCTATCCAACGCAGCGCCCAATTGCCTTTTTTGGATACACACTCTAGGTTGCTAAGCGCATTGAACAGAAAATCCTTTTCCTTTGGGTCTTTGATGTACGTATCGATAAGCAGGGAGTAGGTTTCTGCATGAATATTTTCTATCGCCACCTGAAAGCCATAAAAACACCTAGCCTCAGGTATCTGCACCTCGCGCATGAAGTTGAGCACCAGGTTTTCGTTGACAATACCATCTGAAGCCGCAAAAAATGCCAAGACATGCTTGATAAAATGCTTCTCGTGGTCGTTCAATTTTTCCCAGTCTGTAAGGTCTTGCGACAAATCAAGCTCTTCGGCCGTCCAAAAAGAGGCAACATGCTGCTTATACATCTTCCAAATCTCCTGATATTTAATAGGAAAAAGCACAAACCTATTCGGGTTCTCCTGCAAAATGGGTTCGTTTTGAAAATCTGACATAGTATAGTAGTGGTTTTGATAATTTTTTTTAACATAAAAATTTCTACAACTGAGCGTTGCTCAGGTTGTAAAACAATGTAAATAGGATTAATACGAACTCGTTAGGAGACGCAGAGTATGAAAAGTAATTCCCAAATCACAAAAGCAAAATCACTATATACCCATATTTAAGTATAACTCATTCACACTCAAAGGGAAAGCAATTGTTTTCTCAATTCGCTTGCATTTCTACGGACGAAGATACGTCAAGTTACGCAATTATTCAAGTTAATTTTCCACATAATGTTGGTAAATAACGTAACCAATTGATAATCAACACATATATTGATATAAATATTTTTACACTTTGTGAGTAACTGAATGTGGAAAACAAAATGTAATTATCACTATTTTGATTACATAGCATTTAATCCTACATTTAAATGCCTGAAATAGAGCTAGAAATGAGTTTCATTGTGGTGGTGACGAAAATTCGCTAAATGTGGAAAACCGGGCAATGTCGGGTAAATGACCAATGTCTATTTTCCATTTGGGCGTGTCCTCAGCAGCCCTTAGGGTTGGTCGCTAACAAAAACTGTACAGCAGGGCTGCTGAGGTCGGGCTATCCACTGCAATAGCCCTTTTTGTGCCTTTTTTGTCTTCGCGTATGGGCTGTTCGGGTAGAGCCGTTGCCCCGCAACGGCTTAATTTCGCGGGTAATTTTCACAAAAGGCACAAAAAGGGCTATTTCCGTTGCTATCCCTCACGCTTTTCGATTTACGATTTTTTCGATTTTCGATTTACGATTGCTCGATTTACGATTTTTTCGATTTGCGATTTTCTGGATTTAAGATTATTCCTTATTCAAAGTTAATGCTTAGTTATCAATCCTAAAAACCACAACAAAATCTTCAAAAAATCGTTATTTTTGCATCAATTATGCGAATTATCCTCTACATACTAGTTTTATTGTTCGGTGGCTCCTCCCTTGTGCATGGCAACAGCATAACCGACCAATCAGCCATTACTTTGAGTAAGCTTCCTTTGTACAAATCGCCTAACCTATCGTGCCCTGATTTCATAGTGCTGCCTATGGGCACTTTGGTAGAAGTAATTGGTCAATCGGAAGCGCTACAACTCGATAAAGACCAATTGCAGCAATTTTATTGGTATGAGGTGCATACCACCCAAAATGAAAACGGATGGATATATGGCAACAACTTGGCAGTCATCACTATGGACCCGGATTTGTTGGCTCTTGGTGACAACTTGCACAAAACTGCTGTCGATTTTGGGAGCAACTATGGACTAACTACTGCCTGGGTAGCTTCCATACTCGGTAGAGATACCGGTGAGTATATCAGCAATGTGTATCGCGAAGATTACCTCATATTTACGCATACCTCAGGGCGGAGTGTCTGGCAAAAGATAGCAAGAACAACCTATGATGGCAGCAATAAGTTGCTACAAATCCTGCTAAAAGATGTAACCAACGATAAATACCCCGAATTGCTGCTCTGCTCAGCTGTGCATGCCGAGAATATGCCCGAAAACACCAAAATGGAGGTTTTTAAAATGCAAAACAGCCGATTAGTCTCTATTTTCTCCGAAGACCTGACCCTGCGATTGCCTAATGGCGACCCTTCTCCTGCTATATCGAAGTGTGTGGACCTAGAAGAAGGCTCTATACGAATAGAATATATTGACATGATGGTGTACAAAGATGCAAGTGCTCCTGCAAACGGACAGCAACAATACAGTTTGGAGTATGTAACCTATACCTATTCTTGGAATATGAGCAAAGGTAATTTTGAGTTGTTGTACCCACCTAGCCGTATGACGCCTCGTGTACTGGCAAGTGCGGCAAGTGTACGTTTGTATGCTTCACCCGATATTCATAGCGCTGTTGCCGATGTGGTGGGCACCAATAAATCTATGAAAGTGCTGTCCCTCACTACCAAATATACCAAAAACAAGCACAATGACAAACAAATGGAGGTCTTTTACTTCGTTCAATCTGCCAATGGCATCAAAGGTTTTGTGCCTTCCTGGAACATCAGCTTCACCGGAATAAGGCATGAGGCAGCGCTCAATGCTTGGAATGCCGCTCCGCCCTTGCTTCCCGATGACTGGACGTACCCAATGGCAATCATACAATACTAAGCACTCCGTGCACCTCCACAATTGGCGACAGCGCTTACTTATGCACCATTTCCTTGCGGTGTATCAAATCCATAGCTTTTTCTACAGCAGCATCGTGTGTATGCAGAATGCGCTGCGATAGCTCTTCTGTAAACATCACTTTGGCTATGCGGGCTTTGAGGAGCAAGGAGAGTTTTTCTCGGGTAATCTGGAGCTTAGAGGCACTTTGCGTTATGCCAATGCGCTGGCAATGTTCGGTGAAAAGCTTGAACATATTATCATCTACTTTGAAATCGCGTATAAAGCTTTCAGCCTCCTTGGGGAGCTTCGATTTATCGTTGCTTTCCTGCCATTTTGCTACGAATTTGGGGATTTCTAGCCTAGATTGCACAAAATACTCAGAAAAATAGGTGGTATCTAAAGGCACAAAGAAATCGGGGGTGATGCCACCACCGCCATACACTACCCTACCCATACCCGTATAGTACTTGGTGGAGTCGAAAATAGCCGTCTTGGAGGCATCGGAGAGCTCGCCGTTTTTGAGTCGGCGTTCAGCATCGGAGGCGTAATCTTGCTCGTACTTGTAGTCTTTCTGTATGCACCTTCCGCTAGGCACAAAATAACGAGCAATGGTGATCCGCACTGCTCCACCATTGCTGAGTGGGTATTGTTCTTGCACGAGTCCTTTACCATAGGTGCGTCTGCCGACTATCCAAGCGCGATCGTGGTCTTGGAGCGCGCCGGCTACTATTTCGCTGGCTGAGGCTGAGCCTTCATCGATAAGTACAACGATCTGTTCTAGATCGAAGCGAGATTTTCCGCTGCTTTTGTACTCCAGACTTTTGCCGTCGCGGCCTTTGGTGTAAACCAATAACTTGTCGTTGCCAAAAAACTGGCTCAATATAGAAGTAGCTTCATTGAGGAACCCGCCGGGATTGCCCCTAAGGTCGAGTATGAGGTTTTTCATGCCAGTATTTTTGAGCTGCAACTCGGTGAGGGCAGTCACAAATTCTTGGTTGGTGGTTGCACTAAAACGGTTTATCTTGGCAAAAACGGTGTGTTCATCGAGCATATAGGCTGCATCGAGGCTGTTGACCGGTATGACATCGCGGGTGATGGTAATCTGGCGGAGTGCTGTCTCTTTGCCGCGGAGTATGCCTACGTTTACTTTGCTGCCCTTTTCGCCACGCAATTTTTTGAAAATATCGATCTGCTCAATCTTCACACCGGCTACGATGCTGTCGTTGATGGTGATAATTTTATCGCCACTCATGATGCCTGCAGCTTCGGATGGTCCGTTGCGAATGGCGGTAACTATTTCGATGGTATCGTTGACTAGCAGAAACTCTACGCCTATGCCTTCGAAATTGCCATCCATATCCTCTTGTACGTATTCTAGCTCTGAAGGAGGTATGTAGGTGGTATGCGGATCGAGTCCTTCGAGCATTTTATCGATGGCTGCATGGGTGAGCGACTCGGTGTTGACGGTATCGACGTAGCGCGCATCTACGTATTGAAGTATTTCATCGATGGGGCTATTTGGGGCAGTATTGGCATCTGCACCGGGGAAAAAACGGAGGTTGGTACCATAACGCGGTATGTTGAGCCCAATAAGCAAACCTCCTGCTAATAAAAGTGCATACACGAGTGGTTTTTTCCACTCAAACTCATTGGAACTGGTATTTTCTGACATAAAAAAGAAACATCAATGCTTTATTGTTGCGAAAATGACAAAAAACAGACAAATATCTGTGACATTTTTAGACAATTTGCATATTATTAAGAAATTATTTATAA